AGCTATTAACAGACACAGCTCTTTCTGCTCAACACATCTTTTAAAAAATCCCAGTGGTGTATATTCGAACTCTGAGAGTATCCCAGTGGTGCATATATGAACTCTGAGAGTCCTTTAATGATGCCTATGGTATGTCATGATAAAGATGGTCTATATAAGGTACAGTCCTCTGAGAATGCCTGCAACCCTCTGAACTCAGAGGATTATGGGGCATCCTGTGCAGAGCTGGAGGGGTGTGGAAGTACAAGTCACCTCAACACATTTTGCAATTTACCAGCCTGCCCCTGGGATGTGGCTTCTGGAATCCATCCTTCTTGTTTAAAAGAACACTCTAATGTCTCCTTTTAGCATGCTATATTTTAAAAATTCATAGAGCTGTACATATAGAGTGCGACATGAGTCATCAAGTTAGTCTTTAGCAACAAATGTGGTGTAACCTAGGGAAGCTGCATTACACTGAGGCAGAGGACTGATCCATCTAAATCAGTATTGTCTACACTGATTGGCAGCAGCTTTCCGGGGTTGCAGAAAAGACTTGTTCCCAGTTGTACCTGCTGCAAACGCTCAGGTACTCCCCTTTGAGCCCTTGGCATGCACTCAGTTCCGGTCTTTTGCTAAGGCAAGAAAGTTCTCTGTTGTATTTCTACTTATGAAAAGTAGAAGTTCTTGAGATCCACGAATGAGTTCCTCTGGCCCAGGATTTTGTGGTGTTGTGCTGGTCACCATGGAAAACAGCAAAAGCAGGTCTGTAATGGAGGGCACATTTTGTTACCAATGTTTTATTACTGATTTTCTACAGTGCTTGTGCAGCACTTAGTGAACATTCTGGGTCCCTGAAACCTCCTGCAATTATTCACCTACAATTAGGTTTGTTATGACATAACTTTAAATGGAAAGCACATGCTTCTGAGCGCTGGTGTTTGAATTTATGCAAATATATTAATGTATGCAAATTTGCAATTTCCCAGATTTTTCTCAGAGGTTACTGGCAGTTACTCAGTTGTGGATTTTGTGTGTAACTGGATGAGGGATGGTGATTCTCATCTGCCAGAAACTAGCTGAAACAATTAACTCATTTTTATATATATATTTGCTTTCATCCTAGTGATCTCCTGGTATGCAAGGACTGCTCAGTTTCATGGCCCATTCCTAACAGGCCCATTTCATTGTTTATGATATAGTCATTTAGCATGTACCCCTAGGGAGATGGTCAAACATATCAATGTTTCCAAGCAATAGGCATATGCTTGGAAATTTGGGAGGTGGAAAGGGCAGTACAAAACCACCTCTCATTTGACTCCCCAGATGAAAACTGTGGTTGTATCATAAAACTTAAGTCAAGCTGGCATCCTAAAGATGAGGTGTATTTAGGCATCTGATCCCTTCATCTAGATTCAGTCCTGATTTCAGCTGGTTAGCTAGTTTCCTAAAGAGGAAACTGAATATATAAACTGGGACTAATTGTCCAGTGCATGTAGGGGAAGAAGATGAAAGCTATTTTGTGTAGGGCCTGGATGGACGTACTCTTAAAACAGCCATCTTCTACCTTGACATCTTCCACGAACCTTCTTATGCTTGTGGTTCTCTAAATCCAAACCAATATAGTGAACACCAAAGTTAAGTTTGGTCAGAAAGGATACTTATTCCAAAACAGAGAAGCAAAAAGAGCAGCTAGATCCAAACCATTGGGCACATCTCCAAGAACCCAGAGTCTGGGAGGCCCCCAAATGACCCCTTGAACTGGCAGTGGTAGCTCCTTCTCCCTGCTCCCTCTTTTGGCCTGGTCAACCTGTGGTAGCAAAAAGTGGTGGCCAACTGGACAAGTGCAGCAACTGTAATCAATTGGGTGTCACCTTGGAGGGACACAGCCCATGTGAGCACAGGAGGGCCATAAAGCCTGCTCTTCATTGCTCCAAGCTTAATTTTAAACAGAACACATTTAAATGAAGTACCAGATTAGGAGGAGGAGCTAGAGTTGCTGCTGTCTCCACTACTACCACCAGGGTTATTTCCTTTTTTTAATGAAGGAAAGGAAAGTTGTGCATGGTGGCAACACAGTGGCGGTGTGTGTTAATGCTGCCTCCCCCAGCACCAAGGTCGCAATTTGACCAGGGTTGCTCAGAGCCAGCTCCATCCTTGGAAGAATGCATCACTGCCTTGCTTCTAATCTTTTAACTGTAGTTGAGTCTACGTGTGAAGTAGTTCCAAGTCTTTCAAAAAAGTACCTTCCACTACTATGGCATTAATGCACTTTCGCTTCTTCCTGCATCAAGTAATAGTAAATGTTCAGAAACTGCACAGGCATTCTGCTCCAACAGCTATCATTTCCAATGTGACATGCACCGGATGATCTCAAAGAAAAATTGCAGGCATTCCGTATGGTCTTCAAGATTGCACCATATGCCCATAATAAATTCTTTGCCACCACAAATGGCTTAACAAATCTGATTTCCTTCAGCACACCTAGGAAGTGTTGTCCTATTAGGGACTTCAAGTGTATTAGCAGAGGCTGATAAGGTTTGGTTTACCTGACTTGGTGCAAGACTGAAAAATATCCCATTTCCTATTCTTGAAACTATACAGCTATCTTTATCATTTGATCTGACAAGAAGTTTCTTTGACTTCCTAAACTAATATTTCTGCAGCAAAATGCTGCTCTAAGGCTAGCATAACTAGATATCCAGTATGTATAGCAAACACATCTTGATCATAAGCCAAGCCTATGGTGGGAGCCATGAGTGGGTAATTTGTGGCCTTCCAGGTGTTCTGCCCTCAAACTCCTATCCTCCCTCATCATTAACTGTGTTGGCTAGGGCTGTTGGAAATAGTAGCCCGCACCTCTGGAGGGCCACAAGTTGCCCACCCGTGATTTCAGCAGAGAAAACTCCGACTATTGTAATTCATTTCACTGAATGGAAGCACAGCTCAGCAATCCTTCAAAGGCTACTTTTCAAAGCTGCTTCTGTGAAAGCAGGTAAAAAACTGTAACATGGAAAAAATGCAGTTCAAAACCTAACCAAATTCCTGAATACCCAGCACAATAACCAGATCTCCCCACCTCTTCCTGGAATCAAAATTGCTCTTGAAAGGAAAGAAAGACATAGATATTTGTTTTTGCAGCTTTTCCGAATAGGTATGCCTTTTCTTTTTCCTGTGTTCAGTCCTTTGAACCACAAGAGCTATACTTTGAATCTTTTAATTTCAAGGTGAAATGCTATTATGTGTTTTCCCCAAAGTAGTTCACAATTCAATGGGCAAGATGTCAAGGATAATGTTTTTTTAACAGCATTCAACAGAACCCACTGCAGGAAGAGTGCATCTCATTGCAGTGTCCCTCCCACCAGATACTAGAGGTTGTATTTATATGCTTCAGTTCCTCTGTTGTTATAACATTGAGGTTTTGGGTTGTTATTTTTAATTGAATTGGCATACATTTACAACATAAGTGGCAGTATACAGCTGTATAAAAATGGTAATTAATTGCTGGAACTTCTGTGGTACTGAAAGCAAAAGTAAAGAGCCTTCCTGGTTTTGTTTTCAGGACACAAATATACATTTGGGGACATCTGCATTGTCGATATGACCTTCATGCAGCATGAAGACTGTAAAGAGCTTTGCAGATAGGACTCCAGTTTGCTCTCCAAAGCAAAAATCGAGGCTGGGCTGCCACAGTCCATCTCTCACACATGCACTGCATTTCCCAGATCTGAAGTGTGAACAGGGCTACATATATAGCCATTTAATTAGATGAAGGTCAAACTGTGTACTAACAGGCAGATATTTTTATTTACATTGCCTAGCAATCTTAAAGAAAAGAAAGCTCAGTACAGATTCCTGGAATAGTATTTCATCCTGCTAAGTTTTAGATATGGCATTTTTATCATTAATGTGAATCCCCACACAAGGGCCCTGCTTTGAAGGGGCACCTGTTGAAAAGAACATGGGAGAAGTGGTCTCCATTATTGCATTTAGTTTGATTTTAGGATAGCTGGAGATCACATGTGTGTTTATCGGTGTCACTCAGTCTTAACCAAAATATTATGGGTTCTGTTCAATGTTAGTCTAATTAAGGCCCTTAAGTTCATTTAGGACCAACACTGGATTCAGCCGAATACTTTAGAGTAAAAAAAGTTCTCCTTGGGTGAGCAGGAGATTATAAGGTTCAATAGAAGATCAATGCTAGACGAAGTTTTAGCTAAAGAACAAACTTAGTCTTCAGAAATGAACAAGAAACTGTCTCCCACTTGGTTGCAGTTGGCTGGCTGAGACATACTGGGAACTGTGGCCTTTTTTTTTTTTTTTTTTTGTATCTCAGCATGCATAGGATTGTGCCCTTAGAAGAAATAAGTCAAAGGCAAAGAGAAATGGAAAAGAAAGACAGAGAAAAAAGGAAACTTAAAGGCTGGAGTCCTAAAAGAAATGAGAAGCAAGAGCTCATAGAACTGGAGAACGGGTTGAGAGGTGACAGTGCAAGAATGACTGGACCAGAGAGCTGGTTCTAGCTGAATCTAGCTGATTGATTCATTACACTGTTAATTATCTGGGCTCTTTTAGTGGTATGGATGCATATGTGCAGTCCCTGAGATTCTAAAACTTCTTCCTATTGTTATTTTCCTAAAGTAAAGCAAATACAAGGAACTTCAATAGGTGGCTGATCAAGGTAGAAGATACACATTATATCCTCCTGCCTGGATAATATACATTGCTTAACTGGAACATGAAGTGTCCAGTTTGGGTGAAATCTGGAAGTTTGGGAAAAGACTTTTGTACTTTCTTTGCCTATTTTGAGTGCCTAAAACAGCTCTGAGTTTGAAAGCTAATAAATTCTGATAACCGCAAATTCTAAAACAGCTACATATGCTTGAAAGAGAAACATAATATGCACCTTTCTCTTTGCCCTGATTATGTCAATGAGTTGTATGTCCACTGCTGTCACAATTCACAGTATCTTTTTTCCCAACTTCTGATATAAATTTGGGGATACTATTGTATTTTGGTAGGACTGATTGTTCGAGAAGTAAGCATTGAGATTTCACGTCAGCAAGTTGAAGAACTCTTTGGACCTGAAGATTACTGGTGTCAGTGTGTTGCCTGGAGCTCGGCAGGTACCACCAAGAGCAGGAAGGCTTATGTTCGCATTGCATGTAAGTATTTCCTTTCTTATATCTGTGTGAGTCTCTCTGGATTGGATCATGGAACTTTGCTGCACACTACCTAAGACAAATGGCATGACATTGCCTTTTCTGGAGGCTGTGAGCTGGAATTCTACTCAGAAACATAACACTAAAGTATCAGTACTTCTGTTTTTCTTGGTGCAAGGACTTACCTTTTTGTGAGATGCTCATAATAATGCCCATGATAATGTTATGCAAAAATTAAAGAGATAATAATTCAGCGTCATGGAGAGAGCTACTGGTGATTAAAGTTTTGACCTCCTGGAAGATATGAATGGATGAAAAAGGTTTGATTGTTCCACATTTATTTATTTATTTATTTATTACAAATTTCATTTTAAACCATTTTATCCCTTTTACTACCCAGTTAAGCTTCTTCTCTCCTGTGCATTCTTCAGAGGCTATCCAGTTTGAATGAAGACAGGAGAAACTATCTGGACTTTTGTTGTAGAATCAAACAGATTATGGCTGCTGAAGTAATAGAAGCCATACTTCTGCTGCTTCTGGATAAAGGATAGCATTGTTGCCACAGCAATATTTGCTTTTATTACTATTCTATCAAATGTTCAAAGTAATAAGAATTACTTTTTTTTACTGTCAGGGGATATAATATTATGTATATTTAGACTTTACTTCAATTGAGAATGAATATTATGGGAGCAAACCAAAGCCATCACAAAAAAGGCTAATTTTGAAGAGCAATCTGAGGGAAAATCCCCATTGGCAAAGACCAGTGATTAAAACAGCAATGCAATTATTCACCCAGTATAAGTTGAGTGCCATCTCAAGCCATAAGTTCTGTTGATGCTTGTGATGTAGCCTGAGTTGCCAGGTTCTGTGTGGGTCAGTTCTTTAGCCAGGGTCAGGTTAGGTGACATTTCTCAGGAAAGCAAGACGGGAAGAGATCAGCACCTTGGCAAGCTCTAAGGCTGGTGGCCATATGGGGTTCCCTCTGTGTTACTCTAGCCAGAAGCAGATCAAACCTGACCTAAACGGCTTGGGTCCTGGTTACCTGAAGGAGCGCTTACATCCATATTTGCCCAGTCGCCCCCTGAGATCGGCGGGAGAGGCCCTTCTCCGGGAGCCCTCCGTGAGAGAAATTAGGAGGGTGGCTACTCGGAGAAGGGCTTTCTCAGTGGTGGCGCCTAAGTTATGGAATGCGCTCCCCAGAGAGGTCCGCCTGGCGCCGTCGTTATTTGTTTTTCGGCGCCAGGCTAAGACCTTTTTATTTAAGCAACATTTTAAATGCTAAATACAATTGAATTTTATCTGGCCAGGGCGGCTTATTTTATAATGTGTGTTTTAATTAAGATTATTTTATATGGATTTTAACTTGTTTTATCTATGTTGTAAGCCGCCCCGAGGCTTCGGCGAATGGGGCGGCATAAAAATGTTTTAATAAATAAATAAATAAATAAATTATGCAGGAGCTTAGCTGCTTTAAACTGGTTGTCTATGCCATAGTACTGGCTGAGGAACAGTCTTCTAAAGGGGCTGGCTTGTTTGCACAGCTGGAAGCTTCAGCTATGAAGGACTAGCCATGGTCTGTAGTCTGAAGATGGTAAGTCATATTCTCTGATCACAAAGAGCCAATGCCTGAGATCTTTCTGGGGAACAAAGTCCTGGAGAGAAGGGGTGGCCATGATGCCTGTCCCTGATTGAATCCTCTTACTAAGCTGTCAACTTTGGTGCGCCAAGGGGATAAGATCCTCTGAGGATGAGGGTTCAAAGCTGAGGAGAGCATGTTGCACAGTGATCCATGTTTCCCTACAAGCAATATTTCTGTTCATATCTGGAAAGCACCCATTACAGCTTTAATGCCTTACTGAATGTGCCTTACAAAGATTCACAGTAGTCTATTTTTTAAAGTATTCCATTGTGTTCCAAGTATCCCATTCAATTTTCCATTGTGAATCTATTTCTTTCAAAATAGTAGGTGAAATTAAAAAGAACAGTGTTTTCCAAATTCACCAATCAACCTGTAATATTTGTTTCCCTTGACAGATACTTGAAGCTAAGAGTTGCATCAGGTAGATCTATTATTCTGTCAGTTCTGTAAGGCCTACAAGTAATAGCCCCTAATCCAAAGAATTATATGGAGTCAAACACACCATTATTCTAGTCAAATATATTTTCTGACAAGATGAATGCAGGTCAATGATGGCAGATTAGACCTGTGTAACCATTTCGTTGCACTGTTTTCGCTAGTCTGAATAAGGAATGAATGTGGCCTATTGTACCTTAATGAGAGAAGAAAAGATTTCAACAACCCCTCTTTACTTCATTGACACTCATATTAATATTAAATTCTTTCTTCTCCTGTCACATCTATACTTCTCCCCCACTCCTGACACAACTCAAGGCGAGCAGTTCCTAGAAACACAGATACCCTCCTTATAATCCAAATATTTAATTTTCATTAATTTTCAAAGAGAAGACTGCTTTTCTAATGCAGTATTTGCACTGAAGATTCTCATCCCACTATCATGTGTATGAAATGAGTTTACCTTAACTTACAATGGAAAGAAGACACATCACTCAGAGTTGGGTTTTCTTTGTCTTTGGGAAAAATGAAACAAACAGCTTTTGGGGAATGCTCACAAGAAGCTGGCTATCAGCCTGGCATTTAGCCTGACATTTTAGTCAAAGAGAATTTTTCTTCTAGTAAAATGAATGAATTCAGCAGGAAAAAAGAAAAAAAAGCTTTTATTGGGACATACAATTCTTCTGTGAAACATTATAGAAGCAATTAGAAGAATTCATTGAAAATACCATAAGACAGAGAGATGCTTTTAAATCGTAATCATGGCTGGTTCCAGGGCCCATCTATTACTTCATGACAATCATTTCTGATTCTATTGACTTATTGTTACATTGTTTTCTATTTGTGATACTTGGTTTTTGTTAGCATGGGTGGAAAATAAAGGCAGAGAGCTCAGGGCTTTTGAATTGTTTCCCGGAGTGCACAAATGGAGAGCTAGACCATAACAAGCACTCAAGACTTGTGAAGGGGGCTTGAGCTGGCAGATCCAGACCAAGCTCTGCTCTGTTCTTCATAGTTTAACATTTGTATCTTCTTTATTTATTGCATCTATTTATTTATTTATTTATTACATTTATATGCCACTTCTCTTAGCAGAAGGCTCTCAGGGTGGCTTAAATAAAAGAGTAAAACAACAATAAAACACTACAATTTAATGATAAAATAATGAAACAATAATGAAACAATACAAGAATAAGATAGTTAAAATATATCAACCAAAATAATCAAATTACCAATAAATGCATTTAAACAATCATTTTAAAATGAAAATAATAATAAATATAAGTATCATCTGGGCACTGAACACTATATGGCAGCAGTAACCACTATATAGCAATTGAAACCACTTACTCACCAACGTTACTACAAAAAAGTCTTCAGTTGGTGCCTAAAAGAAAAAAAGCGATGGTGCCAGGTGGATCTCTTCTGGTAAGAGGTTCCAGGCACTATCACAGACAAGGACCTTCTCCTAGCCCTCTTCCCCTCACTTCCTTGTGGGGAGGAACCTGGAGAAGGGCCTCTGATGAAGACCTCAGTCTTCTGGGCAGGGACATATGAAGAGAGGTGGTCCTTCTGCTATCCTGGCCGCAGCCATTTAGGGATTTGTATGTTAAAGTCAGCACTTTGAATTGGGCCCAGATGTCATCCAGCAGCCAATGCAACCTGCAAGGACTGACATGAAAGCCAGCAGGCATATGGCCCTGTTCCAAATCAGTTGCAATGCCTGGACAGTTTTCAAAGGCCCCACATAGAGCGTCTTACAGTAATCTGTATCTGTAGCTGCTATAAACTGAAGATTCTGTTCTTAACTATAAAACTTTAAATGGTTTGCATGCAAGTTACAACCTTTCTCTCATATGAACATGCCTGTGGCTTCAGATTGTCTCTGGAGGACCTGCTGTATGCTCCACCACCGAAAGTGAGAATGCAGGCTATGTCCTGTGCCACTGCACCAGTTGTGAAGCTCTTTCCCGAGGAGGTTAGACTGTCTCCACCTCTGTTTAGTTTTTGGTAGGCTGTTATGCCTAGGCTTTGAATGTGGTTGACTCCATTCATTGTTTTAAAGATGGTTATCTCCCATTCTTTTATGTGTTGCACCTTCTGAACTCAAAGGCTTAGGAGCATCCTTTGCAGGGCAGGAGGAGTACTAGAAGCAATCTCCCTATCCTTGGAGGCAGCCTCGGACCTTAGAGGTGGGAATCAGAGTTCTGAGCCCCTTCTTCCTTGTAGCTGGGATTGAAAACGTTAGGGCAACTATTCCCCATGGTTGAGAACTTGACCTTGGAAAAGGGAAGAAGGGGGTAATTTTGGTGGGTAGAGAGGAGACATAGAAACATAGAAACAGAGCGAGTCAGAAGGGGCCTCCCGGGCCATCTAGTCTAACCTCCGGCACCAGCCAGCTCCGCTCACGACATGCCCATCATGTGCACATCCAGTCTATCCTTGAACACCTGCACCGATGGGGCCTCAACGACCTCTCGTGGAAGCCCATTCCACACCCTCGGGGTCCAGACTGTCAGGAAGTGCTTCCTGGCATCCAAATGGAACCTTGGCTCCCTGAGCTTTGCTCCGTTGGAGCACATCCTTCCTTCCTCTGCAGGGGAGGTCAAGTCTCTACCCATCTCCGTGTGATATCCCCTCACATACCTGTATGTCGCCATCATATCGCCTCTGAGTCTCCTCTTCTCCAGGCTGAAGAGACCCAGTTCCCTCAGTCTTGCCTCATACGGCATCCCCTGCAAACCGGCCACCAACCTGGTGGCCCTACACTGCACTGACTCCAACCTGGCTATATCCTTTCTGTAATGAGGGGCCCAAAACTGAACACAATACTCCAATTGCGGGTGCACCAGAGTCATGTAGAGTGGTAGTAATACCTCTCTTGATCTAGAAGCCACACTTCTGGCTATGCAGAGACCAGAAAGGC